GGGGGGGGCAAAGAGAAAAGGACAAGGTGACAAAAATAGGATCTTGAACTAAAGTAAACCCTCCTTGCAAGACAACATCTAAAATCTGCCTCGGTGTTTTGAAGCAGGTGCGACGGAGCCAGAAAAACCCCCCCAGCAAAGGCCGGGCTGCTCTAATGACTAACCTTAACGAAGCCAAACGGGGCACTCGCAGGCTCCGCGCATGAATAAAACTTGTGTGGGGTTCACTCCAGGGCACGGGGCCATTTCCACAGCTCTGACATCGGGAAACTCGGGCAAGTCCTTCCTCACTCAGGGGGGGAAAATTTAAATTTTGACTGAGAAGGAAACAACCTCCTCCTCAAGTAGGAGCTCTTGATGTAACCGAAGGAGGGGTGAGGGTGGAAAGGGACACTCATGCCTTTACCAGAAAAACAAGAAACGTTTTATTACATATTAACCAACAGTTCACTCTGATTCTGAACTTGAGCCAGCGAAGGAGAGAAAAGGGAGGTCCTGGCGTTAGGATTTGTGTCTATTCTGTAGCTCAGGCTGTCTCTGAGGGCAAACTCAAAGAGCTCCCTGACACCAGCCCCAGGACAGGATGTGAAATATCTCACAGCTGAGCTCGGAAACTCAAACCAAACCCAGAAACAGAAAGAAGCCTCCTCTGGGCCAGGGCTCCCTGCTCAGCATGCCCTGGCTGGAGAGGCTTCCAAACACCTCTCAAGTTCTCCCTCCCACTACGAGATAAACCCCTGCAAAGAGTTTGTTTTGGAGGCAGACGGCTCCCCTCCGCAGCAGATAAACACCCCTCTGGCAGGGCCGGGGCCAACAGCTCGCTGCAGAAAACACCGCCAGCCCCACAGCCCCAGGAAAAGGGAAAGTTCCCTACAGGCCAAGCCTGACACCAGGCTTCTCCCACAGTTAATTTTAATTAGTTACTTGGGCCCTGACTAATCAGTATGTAACTGGCACTTCCAAAGCTGCCAAGCACAGGTCTTGAGTCACTGAAATAAAAAAGGTTGACAACCCTTGTCCCCATTTTACAGCTTCAGGAATCAACTGAAAAGAGCCTTGAATTACTTCCCAAACTCATTGGTCAGAAGTGAAACCAAGAATAAACCCCAAGACTTCCTGAACCCACGGGGTGCACAATCCATGACACCCCGTTCCAGGCACCTACCACAGGGAGGGGGCAGCAATTGCCCCCCCAAAGAGCTCCAGGTCCCCACACGGGGACACAAACATCGCAGAAGGCAAGGACACAAGGTGTGTTTCCGCACTCTGCGCTTCGCTGCCTCCCACCTCCCCTGGCCAACAGGCCACAGTTTAACTCCTCAAGGTGAAACCTTAAAGAGGAATTTCTTAAAGATATACTATTTTATCCTTTAAGCAATACTATTAAAAGAAGTGGCATGTGTTACGGGACGGACCTGCCTCTCCACCCTCAAGAGCTCCCTTCCCTGCTCCAGCCTCAGCCCAAGCTGGGCAGCTCAATGGGAAGCACATTCGGGAGCACCAAGGGATTTGGGAGCACTTCCACAGCAGAAAGTCCTGCTGTTCCTTCAAATGACACAGAACTTCAGCTGGAAAACAATGACAGAGTTTAACCCCTCGGTTCCCAGCTCCTGGAAACAGTTACTCACTTTTTCACATTTGCCTCCCCGTTGGGAATCCTGCGCAGCTTCTTCTTCTTCAGGATTTTCACAGCTCTCCGGCAGAGGGTTTCAGAGTCCAACATCTCCTTGACTTTGCCGTAAGACCCTTCTCCCAGTAAGTCTCCCATCAGGTATTTGCCAATGAGCTTGGCCCTTTTCCGCCGCGGCTGGTAGATGACCTCGGTGGAGTCGATGCGATGGATGAAGGTGTCCATCCCCACAGACATCAGCTCGCTCTCCGCAAACATGCCCAGCTGCTGGGGCTCCTGCAGATCCATCCTGGATTAAGTTCCTTAACCTGTTTTCCTTAAGCGCTCAGGGGTTTAATCCTGTTTGTTAGTTTCCAACACTCCCTTTTACTCCTTCTTGAAAAAAAATATCCAGAAGATTGTACAAACATGAATTAAAAAAAAAACAACAAAAAAACAAAACACCAACAAAACCAAAACAAACCTACGAGCTGCTTCCAGCTCAATCGGATGCTAAAAGATCCAGGCCTGGCTCCAGTAACACAATGTCTTTTAAAAAGAATATATAACTTTGACCAGATCCACTCGGGTGGGGACTTGCTTTGCTTCCGACCTGGTCCCACTGTTCAGGTTCTTTCAAGTCAACTTGGCCTTTAACCTGGCCCAGTTTGATTCTTAAGTGCTAGGTCATCTCTGGGACTTCAGGCCACCAGGTAAAAACAGACACCGGCCGAGTCTCTCTCGTGACTTTCCATTCCTAGTGGCACATGGTCACCGACTCCCGAGGGGATGGGGGGAGCCTCAGCCCTGCTGTCCTCGCCGTCCCGCTGCGGGCGCAGGCTGGGGGGGGCGGGGGGGGTATTTGTTTCAGCCGTTGGGAAGCTGGAACCACGTTTCCTCGAAGGAGTTTTCAGAAACAATTCTAACGTCTTCGCTTTTCACGCCTACGAAAGTTTGAGGCCTTCGGTGCCTATCGCGACCTCCCAGGGGCATCCTTCAGCCACCCCGATTCCGCCTGGCTCATCATGTGTCACCGCCCGGCTCCAGGTCTCAGCCGCTCTCAGACAACCCCCACCTCAGCTCTAACGGCCCACCTTGAAACGGGAACAAGCAGGAGGAGGTAATTCTCTCTGCCCAGGCCCCGGAGCGACCCCTTCCCCTCCCCCGGCTCGATGAGGGGATCCCCGGGCTCCCCCCACCCCCCAAACCCGTCCCCTTTCGGGCCTTCCCCGGGTGTCGGAGCGGGGAGGAAAACAACCGGCACCGCAGCGGCTCCCGGGGAGCGCGGGGAAGGGGCGAACGGGGAATAAAACACTTCAAGCGCGAGGGGAGCGGCCACGGGGCCCGGAAGGAAGAGACCCCCCGGGGGGGAGGCGGCCCCGGTTCCTCCCCGGCCGCAGCCGAGCTCCCCGCTCCCCCAGCAGGGCAGAGGGGAGCCCGCCCGGGACGGGCCCTTCCCTCTTGGGCAGCTCCCTCGGCCCGGAGCCCCCGCGGCCCAGTCGAGAGAGGGGGGCGGAGCGGCCTCGTCCCCCCTCCCCGCCGCCGGGCTCAGGGACCGGGCCGGGTCCCGGCGCCGCGCTACCCCCCCCACCGCGCCTCCCTCACCTCAGGGGGAGTCCCACCGGCCGCTGCCCCCGAGACCCCACTCC